TATATAACAATTAACCTGGTTTCAGCAGTTACAATTTAATTTGCAAGTATCAAACGTTTTGTGATTTTGTCTAGACAACTAGACATTGATAACAGAAACGATTTGATTATAAACGTTTTAATCTGTATTCTAGTGTTAATCTTACACTCGACATTATTTATAGGTTTTCCATTTCCGATACTTTGGACGTCCGCGAAATCCAGACAGCTGGACATCGGATTTATCGCTCAACCTGTAAAAACGCGAATCCGCATCAAAGCAAGAATTCACGAGCGCGTCCCAGTAATTCTGGTAAAACGCATCTCCCGAATTGTGGAATCCTTATCGTAAAGTTTTCTTTTTCCTTTTTTGGATAGGATCGAATTTAGCGGCGTCAAACCTATACTGTTAACTGTTCTGAATTGCATATCTCACTGATGGACATCGTTTATCGTGCAATTCGACAGTTTTCTTTGATAAATAAAAATAATCGTTCTTATTTCACTCTTTCATTATATGTGTGCTCAGTATCTCAATTCTTTTAAACATTACAATATGACACACACACATATATATATATATATATGTATACAATTAGAAATTCGTCGTTATCGTATTCTATTAGTATTCTCTTTTTTATATACATAGTGAGTATAAATACTATGAATTATACATATGATAAATTTAATATTTCTACTAAGACTCTTCAACAAAATTTGTACAATATGTGCCTAATAATTACCCAAATAGCACAGAAAAAATCCAAAAAGAATTTTAAAAAATATTCAGTCATCATCAATTCTGTGAAAAAAGAAGTATGTCGTATGTTATCAATTCTGAGTTAATTTTCAAATGCAAAAAGAATTCTTTTCAAAACTTTTCAAAAAAAGAGAATTCTTTTTGCAACTCAAAATGAAGTTAGAATTTATGACGTACGAGACTGAATTCTTTTCGAACTCTCTGTACTTTCTGGATAATGACATTGCTATAATGTACAGGATGTCCAGTAAAGACTGTAACAACGCAGGGTAGGTTCCTGAATTTCATCATTTTGATTTCAGCTGAAGGGAATGACCAAGTCAAGTAATTCAATTATCTACTCTAGGAATTCTAGGAATTGAGTAGCAAAAGTTAGCCTAACGCAATAAACGTGAATAATATATTTAATAATTCGCCTTTAACAATAATATATTTTGCAAATTAATAGGAGTAATATATTCAGTGTTTTATTATTTAAAGTAGAGCAATGCGGGTAGATTATTACAGATTATATTAAGGAAAATGGTATAAATATGTATTTTAGGTGACACCTCATCGATTTCAATGAGGTGTCACCTCATTTAGATATGTTGTAGAAGAGAGTGTCCTAAGTGATTCCCCACAGGAATTAACCCACACAGCATGTAATATTACAATATTGCAGTAATATTACAACTTGCAATATTACGTAGATAATACTGAGATATTACATTGCGATATATCACAATGTAATATCTTACAATATATCACAATGTATTATAATAACTTTGTTGAGATATTACAACATGATATATCATTCTGCAATATTACTGCAATATCTAAATATTGCAGTGAGATATATCGCAATGCAGTGTTACCGTAATATCATCCAAATATTGCAATATGATATATCGCACTGAAGTATTACCGCCATATTGTTTAAATATTGCAGTACGATATATCGTAAAGCAGTATTACCACAATATCGTTCAAATGTTGCAATGTGATATATCGCATTGTAATATTATCGCAATATCATTCAATGATTACAATGTGGTATATTGCACTGTAACATTACAGCAATATCGTTCAATTATTACATTGCAGTTTATCACAGTGTCATTTTTCTAAGATATGAATAATACTATGTTTTGATTTATTTCTGAATAAATATTAAGTATTAAATATAAAAAAATTAGAAATATAGATTGAACGTAACTCACAATAGATACAAATAAGCTGTATTGTTTCTTATATCTTATTTGTATCTCTATTGCAATTATATTTAATTCATTTACAATTTCTTTATTTCTCCAATATTCAATATCTTTCTCCTTTAACTTTTTTATTATGCGCGGGGCCAAATAATACATCATTGAAATATATATACAAGTGTTTCAACATTCGCCGTTCAAAACATAATGTAATAGTAACAAAGGTTTAAAAAAAATTAAGTAGAACGTTTATTTATGAATTTTTATTTTAAACAATAGTCTTTGAGATATAAGGGTTTAAATGTGACCATCCCTACAGTACGAAATATTGTAGCAATATATATATATATATTGCAATATTTTAATAGTGCGCAATATTACAAACATTGCAGTAATATTGATGTAATATCGAAATTTTTATATTTTATTGAATATATTACAATATTGAAAAATATTTTGTAGAAAATATTGCAATTTACTGTTGCATTGTTACAATTCAATAGATTATATTTAGAGAAATATTGCATAGGCACATATTGCTATAAAATTATGCAATATTTCAATAATTATTCCACTTTTATTAACCCATTAACGCGCAGGACAAAATTTTTTGCTTGATTTCAAGATAATTTTTAACACATTAAAATATGAAATATTTTAATGAAACTTGGTATCCTAAGGTTTTGAGGGTCGCTCTTTACAATGGCGTCGAAATAAAGAATTTCATTTCAACTATGTGAAAATTAAATATAGTGATCGCGGAACAAAAAAGTGACAAAAAAATGGTCGACTTTTTTTCTTTAAAGATTGTTTTCGAATTGATAACAATTTTTCTAATTTTCGGCAAATACACCATCGATGGTCAAAATAATTGTACTTTAAGACCCTACGGTGAAATTTTTTAAATCCATCATGGCGGATCAAAAATAGCGGCCAAATTGATAAAATCTTGAAAATTTGGTGTTTTTTCGTACAATCTCATCAAATTTGAGTTATGTCCAACTTGTTGCCGACAGAGGCTGCGTTCCGATTCATTGCCAGTACTATCAATACAGAAAATGTATAGTGCACGTAACATACATTATAGATTTTCAGTACTGGCAGTGAATATTGGAACGCAGTCAGAGTTGCCGAATCGCGATTTTTGGGACTAAGGGCCATCCTGCAGGTCTGGTCCCATAGATTTCTATATATTATATATATAATATAGAAGAGTCTATAATTGGTCCCATACTCATTCCTTTGTATATCGTGCCCACACACGCGCAGAATCACTATATGATCCGAACTCATTATTGTGTCGTTAGTATGTAGAAATCTGTGGCAACAGCAGCGGTGCGGCGCCATATAAGTAACTATTGTCTTCAGATCTCTTAATGAAATAATAAAATATTTTGTCAAGATCTCAACGAGACCTCGACGAGAATTTTAAATAATTTCGATCTCGTTATGCTAGATCTCGGTATTGATCTCGAATGATACAAGTGATCTCGTCTCGATTTTCAAGACAAAATCGAGATCGAGATTTTTCTCGTGCGCATCTCTACTCTCCCCTACAACATATCTAAAGGACATTGAAATCGGTGAGGTGTCACCTAAAATACATATTTACCGGAAAATGTATTAGATAAAGGCCGTATCAGCAAATACAATATAACCAAGGTTCGTAATAAAGTGGCAGATCGAATTACGAAAGATCAATCTTATAACGAGCAACATATAAATCAAAAGCGGAAACCTACAAGCGAATATGAGTTAGATGATTTAATTATGATGAGAAATTTTGACATACTTAATCGGAATGTCTAATAAGCTGAAATGGACCTTTAGGTCCATAAATGACCGAAACAATTGTTACGTTTTGAGCGATGTACGGAAATTCCAGCTCTTTCTTAGCGATCGATACTAACAAGGAAAGTTTCACAACTGTCTGGAACCGATTTGATTCTCCATGAAATATGATGTTAAACACGAAAATCTAAGGGACACGTATTTTTTTATACATGCGCTAACTCATGTTTAAGGGGTTAATGAAAGACCCCTTTGAAAAAAAACGGTATTTCTATTTCAAGCCGAATACCGTCGGAAATATAAAAGATGGAAAAAAATGTTTTAAACAAAAGTTGTACGGTTTCAAGAGTACTTCAATGTTATGAAAAAAAAAAATTTTCTTTTAATTTTTTTTTGTTTAACAACTGTTAACAAAAAATTAAAAAAATTTTTTTTCTTCGCAACATTGAAATACTCTTGAAACCATACAACTTTTATTTAAAAAATTTTTTCCATTTTATACTTCCGACGGTATTCGGCTCGAAATAGAAATATTATTTTTTTTTCAAAGGGGTGTTTCACCCCTTAAACATGAATTAGCAAAAGTATAAAAAAAATACGTGTCTCTTGGATTTTTGTGTTTAACAACATATTTCATGGAGAATCAAATCGGTTCCAGACAGTTGTGAAACTTCTCTTGTGAGATGTTTGCGAAAATGTACAAACATGAAATCTTGGCGTAAAGATAAACCTACAGTCGTAGAAGACGATTGTGATGGCCTTAGAATTAAGACGACCGGAGTAAGGAAAGATAAAGTAAATAAATTCGAAATGTGCGGAATTAGCCGAAATCAAAACCGGCGGGTTGATAGGCACAAGGCATCAAGATTGGATGTTTATTTATTAATCACGAGTTAATCGTTAGTGGTGAATTCAGTAAGCCGATCAGACGATAGTGAACACATTATGCCTATTGCACACTGGATGCGACAAGCGACAAGCGATATCCAATGAGAGTTCTGCTTTTTCGCATATGACAATGTAAAGCAAAACTCTTATTAGATGTCATTCGTCGCTCATCGCTCATTACGTCTAGTGTGCAGTAGACATTAAAAGGAAAAATCTCTGTATTTTATACGATAATAAACTTACATTTATCTTCTATAGTTGTCCACTACCCTTACACTGCTTGCATAATATAATTATTAATAGAAATCTTTCTTTTCATTTAAAAAGCTTACTATTTAAGTAATAAATTTAAAAAATTCTCTATTAACTAATGTTCAATTTTGGTTGCAGTTTCCATAATGGGCCCACACGGCTCAGTATCGCCATGCGGCAAAGTATGGCAAAAGATCCTGTAGCTCCCGTCTTATGGGAACCCCATTTAGATGCCCTAGATCGGCGGATAAACATTGTCCTACAAGCCGTCCGTGACTGCATTGCCCGTGAAAACTCTTCGCAACAAGTCGTCCACAGCGATAAAATTGATTCGAAGTTATAGCTTTCAAGCGAATTTAGAATAAATAATCGTGATGTAAAAAATGTAAAGAAATCTTTTTTTCCTTCTCTGGCTATTTTTTCCTTCTTCCTGTTTCTCTCAAATACTTTTATATAAAAATTCTTCAAAAGATGTCTTTTATTTCCTCTTTCTTGTTATTGTCTATCTTCAAAATAATTTTTTCATTTGTTAATATATTTACATTATACATACCTATAGAGTGTTAAAAAAAACTATTCAGCATTTATATGGTAGATAGTATACTGAATAACCATACTGAATAAAAAAAACTTTAGTAAACATAAGTCGAAAGTTCAATCGTTTCTGAGATATAAACATTTTTGTATGTTAGCATCATGATATAAAGACAAGGGTATGCTCATCTCATAGATGCGCAGTAGCATACAGCCAGCTTAATCGTGCAAATTCGGTTACTTTCGGAGTGCTCGGTTGACATAAAATCTGGCTGCCCCTTGCCGTAAAGATAGAAGTGTGAGTTGTGGCGATTCATTGCCCATTCTTCAAAAATAAATTAGATAAGAATCTTGAATAGCTGTTATATATATTTTTCTTCTATTTGCGAAGAGAGTACAAAGAAAGTTTTCAGCTAATCACGTATTTTTCCAGGTACGTGATGTGAATTGTTTTTTTTATGAAAAGTATTAATTGTTATTAAAAATATACAATCACCTTTCATTATACAAATATTTTCACGTCCGTGGCGAGAGTATAAAATTATATAATTTGAACAATATTATTAATATAAATATATATACACTGCGTATAATGCACTGTGTATTTCTTTACAAAGAGTAACATATTAGTCTTTGAAATTATACGTGTTAGTACAAGTTATTTGAATTTAGCGGCGAAAAATCACGTTTTAAAAGTAAATCTTATTGGAAGATATTGTAATTCAAAGCTGTAAGTCACAGTACTGAGTACGCGAATTTCGAATTTGCCGCTTAATGATGACGCAGTCAGAATGTATTTCTGATTGGTTATCTAGAGCTATCATACGCGTGAACATATCCTTGCTTTTGTACCATGGTTATCATGAATCTCTTAAGATGAAATCACACGGTGCGGAAAAAGACTGCGGAATAGAGAATGCGTCATTGAAGCAACCAATCAGCACTATTCAGCACTATTCGGAATAGCACTGATTGGTTACTTCAATGATGCATCCTCTATATTCCGCAGTCTTTTTCCGCACCGTGTGATTTCACCCTTACTAGAGCTTCTACGCGTGCTATGTTTACCTCAATGTTTATAAACTGCGTTCTGTACGTCCTCATTCAATTTCCGTACATACTTCATAACAGAAAATTTTACCGGCAATCAGTCAGTTGTGTCAACCGTTGATTGAGGATCTACATATACACTGCTTTCCATTTGATGACAAATCGACACAAGCATTGTTCTATCCTTCTTAACATTCAGAGAGTGACAAAAATAGAACGACACTTGTGTCGAGTTGTGTCGACTGTCTCCTAAAAGGAAAGTAGCCATTATTTGGTGATTATACAATAGATACAAAAATATTTGTATCTCAGAAACGATTAAACTGTCGACCTATGTTCACTAAATTTTTTTACTCAGTATGGTGTGTAGTGTATATTATCCACCATATAAACGCTGAATAGCTTTTTCTGAACACCTTGTATATGCAAGTACACACACACACACACACACACACACACACACACACACACACACACACACAATAAACACTTATTTATTAACTATATTAAGTTAAATTGGCTAGACAAATTAATGAAGTGGAGTGAAATGCTGCAAAAACTATTTTTTTATCTATTAATGAGATCACTTTCATTATTTTTAATAGTCTCTTTTATTTAATTAATTGTAAATCATTGAAAGTGTATTGTTGAAAATTGTGTTTCTAATTTAATTGATTATTAAAAAATGTATTTCTAATTAAAATTAAAGTCTTTTTAGTTCAAATTTAATGCAGGGATTGTTAGGGAAGACTTGCCGAATGCGCTTATCACTTAAGTTACTATATATATATATATATATATAATATATACCTTTTATTATATTTCTCATCTAATATTTATTAGTGTACAAATAAATGCTGAAAATTGTAAATTGATGTTTCAGGTACCTTTATTATTATTATTTATAAGATGACCGGGCCTAATTTGGACTGTTTCCCAAAGTGAGACACTCGCTGTTTGTATATAATTATATGATTAATTTAACAGATGATAGTAGTAATTCGAGCATGCGATCTGTACGACTCGATTGCGTCGATTCATAAATCATATTATTCATTCTGTTCATGTAAAAACAGGAAAAACTGATATGTCGTGGTCGTGATATAATATTCCGTAAGTAAGTAATTACTTTCTATTATTAAACGTGGTTATTAATTTTCGTAGTTCATGTTACTGTAGCTTTATATTCATATTGTACAATACTATATTTAGTTTATATTTTTGTCACAACGTTTTGTTTATAATTAAAGAAAATGAACTCTTTGTATGGTGCAACCAACATGGCCATATTCAAGCATATGCGTGTGATATTTGTCACAAATAAGTTTATAAAGATTATGTGGAATTAATTAAAAATGATAAGAGGCTTTTACTTTCGAATTGCGAGTAGATTCATACGCACAGTTTTAAGAAGGAGAAATTAACAGATATTCAATATTTAAGTTGCTAAATAGCTTTTTTTAAATGTTTATACATCGATATGTTTATGTAATAAAATTATAAACTTATAAAAATAACGTTGGATGACTTTACTTTCCATTTTTAATATTTCCATATGAAAAAGGGAAGACATTTACGCGGCTCACATTGAGTACACATTTTCAGGTACCCCAAATGTTTCCTTTCTTTTAAATTTCTACTGCATCTATATAAATATATGAATATGACTCATATTTTTTTCAATGTTTAGAAATGTTCCCTTTTTCGAATATGACAATTAATTTTCAATAATAAGATTGAAAGACCGCTAATGTTAAACATAATGCTTTAAATTAAGAAGCGCCATAACGGTTAGAACGTTAAAATGTTGAACTATTGTAAATTCATTTAATGAATTAATTTCAGAAATTATAATTGCATGCCGATATGGTTGTCGGACTTTCAACGCAATCAAATCTGAAAATATTAATAATCCCCCCAAATTTCCCCAACTTAAAAACTGTAATAAACTTATTGCGAAAAATAATACCTCTGACCGTTATGGCGCTTCTTAATTTAAAAAATTAATTTTCAATTTTGACTTCGATAAAAAATTTAAAAAATTCTCAAAGCTTAGGGGAACTACATTGGGCCCGATTACATTTTATCTTTGGTATTTTTTTACATTAGAGGACATCTCTTCGATGACCTTAATCTTGACATATGTTATAGAGGTGAGGATACTAATCAACTTTTTTTTTATAAATTAATTGGCGGTCTCATATAGTTTTCGAGATATATTTACATAAAACTCATTTTCAAAATTTCGTTATTTTTTGTATATGACACCTTGTATATGATGGATAGTGTACATAAGTGACCTCCAAAGGTTTTAAATGGCGACCACTGTTGGTTCAAATATTTATTAACAAATAAAGTTTAAAAAATAATATTTATTTTTTTTTACCATATTTATTTATTTCTACCTAATATATAATATTAAAAACTACCCTATACCCTTCTTGTCTAGGGGCGTTCAACTTTCCACGCGAAAAGAGGTCCACCCTATTTCCCTCCTGCCTAGAGGCGCACAACTTTCTACGCGAAACGAGACTCACCCCACCGACTTTCTCCTAGACAGGGAAATTTTATTTCAGGATGAATTTGGGCAGCAAAAATTGTTTATTGTATGTCAGAGTGTCCTTTATGTATTATCAGAGTTTCATAACTTTTTAAATTTTCGAGTTAAACCGGCGGTACACGATACTTGTTTTCCTGTTGGGTTGCTAGCTGGATTAGAATCTTGCCATATTGGCTGCGATGCTGGCACTGATAGCATCGCAGCCAATACGATGACAAGATTCTAATCCTACAGCTAGCAATCCAGTCGAAAAACAAGCATCATGCCGGTTTTATGGGCCTTCTCTTGTTAGTAAAAAAAATATGACAAAATAATGAATATTTTTATAATATAATACTTAATTTCTTAAATAAAAGCTATCTGAATGATTTACTTAAATGTTCAAATGTGATAGATCTTTCATGAATTGTATATTTTTGAGAAATTAAATTTATAAATCTTCTTCAAGAAACGTATGAAAGAAATAGCTTATTTTCCTGAGAAATATATTATATTATGTTTGACTGCTAGTCCACAGTCTATTTTTGACAAATATAAGTAAGTAAAGCGGTCAACGAATTTCTTTTGCGTTTTTTTACGCGTTTTCTCACACCTTGAATCTCATCAAATATTTGCACGACTTTTCGCGCCTTGATGTATCTGTCGGATCTTCGCGTTTGTTGTACTTGGGAATTTGCGGTTCCGCGTAACTTTATTCGCCTTTAGCGAGGGCTTAAACTTTGCTTCTCTTCTCTTCATAAGAAAACTTCTCTCGAGGAAGCGTTAACGATGGATTTCCTGGCAAAATCAAAAAGGAGCTACTTTGGCCGTTAATAACACAACTATGAATCAATATATTCTATTATCATATTTATACCCATATAACAATGTATTTCCTTAGGATATTCTAATTTGATCAGATTGCTCCCATTCTGATCCAAAACATTAAATCATCCATATGATTAGCTCAGGACATTTGTAATTATCATTGTACTAATATAAAACGTCTCTAGGATATCCTACTTTGATCCGAAAAAATTTTTATCACTATATTAATAAATTGCTTTTTTCAACTTTCAACACATATATATCATATACATTTACGTATTTAACGTATATTATAGAGACATATCTTTGCAATTTAAATGTTAATTTTTTAAATGTATACATAAATATCCCACACAGACATACTGAAAACTATCCTTTGTTTCGGGAAGAATTTAATCATATTTATTTTTATATATA